GCGATTTTTACGCGTACTGACGCACGTTTCTTTAAGCAATTGCTAAGTGATATTGTTCCGGGAGGGATAACAGTCTTATAAGCGTCAAATTTAACGCTACGCACAACGGCCGATTCAAGTTTAAACATTTTATTTGGAGATTCTTTGTCTATGTCAGATTTAATTGTAATAGATCGAGAAAGACCAATAATTTCTTTCGAAATACAAATCACGCAATCATCATTAAAGTATACAGAAATTTCACGAAGTTTTGCCGTAAATCCCTGTAATTATATAAGCTGATATATTATAATTACATTCGTCACAATTGTTAAGATGAAGAATCATACCAGCGCAGTTGCTAAAAAACGGCCGAGCTCGTCTAAGTCTGGAAACTGAACATATGAACTAAATTAGGCATAATCTGAATTTTTTCTTTTTTTTTTTAACGAAAGTCAGAAATACCTTCAAGGGTTGTCTCATATCCAATAAGAATGTGGTCCACTCAGAGTCTCCATTATTGATAGAGCCATGATTTACAAGCAACTGATCGTCATTCCAATGAAAGGCCATTCCAAGTTTGTCAGAACATACGCTATGTAGCAATGTTAAAGTGTTAAGATGAATAATTCTGCACGATCAATAAAAATATATACGCAATTTTAAAACTGAAATATTTCAATTTTAAATGACTTTGTAGAGAGTATAGCTAGCAAGGAAGGTAAAATTTCGTAGACTAAGAACTAAGCTAAATAACCTACAATGGTTCTTCACAGATCGAGAATATCGAATAAAATCCAACACCGAAAGCACCAATCTAGGTTATGAATACTGATTTATAATGCAAGTATAGTATTTTTAAAATACCTTTTGCTCATCAAGATTTCCTTCAGCAATTCTCTTTAATCGATCCCAATCTTGTTGTCGAAAGCAAACCCATTATTCTTAAAAGGCATTCTCGAATAAGACTCACCAATAGTACCAATAAAAACGATTTTTGCAGCCAAAGAATTTGCGTCATCTTGAATGTAGGTTTTAATATCAGATTATATAATTACTGTATTTGTATTAAAAAAGAAAGACCTGAATTCTGCAATAATTCTCGAAATACTGCAAATTCCGATGAAGATCTATGAATTATTTTTAGAGTTAGATAAAAAAAAAAAAAAAAAAAACAAATCCTGTGGAAGACTTAAAGCTTACCGTGCTAGCATTTTATCGACTAAACAACTTTGGTTGATTTCAACTCGAAATTTGTATTGCGAGTTTGCCAATAATGCATTTCTGAAGTCTTCAAGATTCTCAAGATTCATTTTCAATTTATTCGATTCATGAGAACGAAAACTTTATTAATGGATATACAATATTATATATGCATTATTTCTATATGTTCTTTATCAATATTCTATATCAATATACATAATGAAATTCTCTGATAGTTTTATCTCCGACAGTAATAATTTAGCCATTTTTGGAGTGTTTTGGAATATGCGTGATAAAATTTATACAATTCATTTCACTCATTTTGGGAACCCATTTTGGAAACTAAAAAATCAGAGATAAGTCGTCTTTATTTTTTTTTCTTCATTGGAATGTCATAAAACTAAATGCAGTACAACACAGTACAACAATGCACTCACAACACCTTATGTGAATTAGAACATAGTAACATGATTCAGTTCATTGCAGAAAATTTTGACTATTGTCACACCTAAAACACTTCTATGGATAAAGTAGACGAGCTATTTGGCACGAGAATGATGAGTTTTAATCATGGCAAAGTAATAACACAAGTGAGAGGATAGGATGTGCGATCGAAAGAGACGCCTAAAAGATACAAAGATTATGAGAAAATACTTTATCATCAATACTATTGTAATGATTTTGTATGTCGAGAATCTGTATTTATTTCAAATAAAGTTCTTTTATGACATATATTTCTCCAAATAGAGTTCTTCTATTCAATATATATATTTTTT